CAAGTCAACTCTGACTCATGGCAACCTTATGTGTGTCAGAGTACAGCTGTGCTACATAGGTTTTCAATGGCTGATTTTTTTAGAAGTAGATCCTCAGGCCTTTCTTCCAAGGCACCACTGGGTGGACTCAACCCACCCACCACACTTTTGGTTAGCAGAAAAGTCTGTTACCCATTTGCACAACCCAGAGACTTTATTTCCTTCAATCACCCCCTCTATATTAGCAAAACTTCCAGGCCAGCTCCTAATTCACCCTGAAGTGCCTCCTGTGCTCCTAGATCTAAGAGATGGAGGCAACTCTCAGAAGGGAGTAGTTAGGTAAACATAGGGCTTTCCTACCCTGAGACCCTACAACTTTCTGAGAAGGATTCTTGAGTGCCAGGAAGGATATCCCTTTACCCCTGATTCCCAACAACATCTTCTGGAAAGCTTGTCTCTATGTCAAGACCCCTGTCTCTGAGGTCAACTTCTGCACTCCATGAAACAGTTTATTTGCCTACTGAGTAGACACGTATTAACTCAGGTGAAGGGAAAGCCAATACACAACAAGGGGGAAGTCAGCACAAGATGATGAAGACAAAGGAAGACACTGGGAAGTATCTAAGAGTAAAAAGCAACAACAATAAAAACTATTACATAGACAATCCTGCAACAGCAGTGATAATAAATAATAATTTATAAGTGGATACATAGGTAGATATGTATGCTGGACAAGTGTGGGATGGCATATAGGAGTACACCCATGAACATGGTATATGGGTTTTGCAGAAGATATTTCTACAAACATATTTGTATGTGCTGCAAATATACCCAGGCATACAGTAGAGTATACAGAGGACACAGTTATGCAAACTTCTTAGCTATAACCAAACACCTTAATGGACTGAGTCATTGGGCTTGAGGGCTTAGGACCATAGTCTCGGGGGACATCTAGGTCAGCTGGCATAGCACAGTACATAAAGACAATGTTCTACATTTTACTTTGGTGAGTAACGACTAGGGTCTTAAGAGCTTGTGAGAAGCTATCTAAAGTGCAACTATTGGTCTCTCCTGGTCCAGAGCAAAGATGGGTGAAGAAAATCAAGATTCAATAAAACAATCAGGCTAAAGGACTTAGTCCACATGAACCACAACACTCTCCACTAGCCTCACACCACAACTAGATGATGCCTGGCTACCACAACCAAACACTCTGATCAGGATCACAACAGGAAGATCCTGGACAGAGTGGGAGAAAAATGTAGAACAAAATTAAAAATCAAAAAGAAGACCCGACTTAGTAGTCTGACAGCCTGAGACTATAGCCCATAAAGGCCCTTCAAACCTGGAACTGAACCCACTCCCAGAAATCATTCAGCCAAACAATATACAGACCTTATAAAGTGAGTGATCAGTAATACCCGTGAAGAACATGCTCTTCATAACAATCAACCGTATGAAACCAAAAGGGCAGCATTTGTCTAAAAACGAAGTTCAGAAAGTAGGAAGGGAAAGGAAAGATGGGTGAATGGAAAGGGGGAACCCAGGGAAGAAGTGAAAAGAGTGCTATTACATTGAGGAGACTGCAACAAGTATCATGAAAAAAATGTATATAAATTGTTGAATGGGAAACTAATTTGCTAACACCCAAACCACAAATGTTTTCTTTATGTGTGTGTGTGTGTATGAATTTTATTGACTACTACAGCAAACTGCCACTCCTCAGAAGGAAGGTTGGGCAATCTACTTCTGCAGTGATGTTGTGGTGGTGGTGTTGTTTGCCGTCGAGTTGGCCCCGACTCATAGCAACCCCTCCTTGGGTTTCCGAGCCGGTAGGTATCACTACGGAAGTAGATCGCCCCATCTTCCTTCCGAGGAGTGGCTGGTGGATTTGAACCGCCAGCCTTCTGGTTAGCAGTCAAGTGCCGTAGCCACTATGCTACCAGAGCTCCTAAAGTGATACTGCCTGGGAAACCCCAGGAGGGGTCACTATGAGTTGGATCCGACTCAACAGCACACAACAACAGCAGCAAATTAAGATGAATGTAAACAGCAACTCACATTTATCTCAGTTCATATTCTTACTGTGAGGCAGAGCGGCAAACGTGGATGAACGTTAAGGAGTAGCAGTACTGAAAGGAATCCATGTCAGCATAAATAACAAAAAATTCAGTTTAAGAAATTCTTTTTCAAAAGTAAATCCTTTCTGCTTGGAGCAAAGCAACATTTTCTCAAACACATGCTTACGGTGAATCTAAGCAGGAATATGAAAAAGGTGCCACACTAGTGCAAGGAAGTTCAATCTCAGCCATTACTTCTTACTGCCATTAAGCCAAATGTAGATGAACATAATGTGTGGGTATGTACAAGTTAGGTATATACAATGAAATAAAACTCAGTAAAATATATCAGGCTAATGGGATAGCAGACTGATAGTCTGAGAGTAAGAGAGGAAGATTCATTGTCATTATATGGTTCAAAGTCATCAGGCTCAGGAGAGACAGACTCAAGGCCATTTCAAAGGGTCATGCTTAGCATGACTATCAGTGACAAGATCACAGTTGAAGTCAGTTCAAAATCAACCTTAAAATTAGGGTGAGACATGGTAATAAAATGGTTAAAATCTGGATCAGGGTCACATTTAAGATAAAGTTCAAGATCATCTTAAGGCCATATAAGTAACGTTTATGTCAGGCTGATCAGGGTCAAAATCATTTCAATGTCATGTTCAAGCGCTGGGTTAGGGGAACAAAATTAGGGGTACAGTATCCTGGTTTGTAGAGGTATCACATAAACTATAGTCCAGTGAGTGGGCTCCAAGCTAGAGAAGGCTCTGCTCCTCTACAAACCAAATATAATATCCTATTAGGCTCACCCTCAGGAAGGAGACCAGATCATATTTAAGCCATGTGCTATCAGCTATGGCTGGGCAGTAATTGTTTACAACCTTCCATTGTGGAGTATTTTAGCTCCTAAGAATGAGATTGATAACACACAAACTACAGGCCAAGAAGAGGTATGAGAAGCAAAACAAACTGAGGAGCCTGAGCAGTGGAAACACCAAATACAGTAAAGTAGAATCAAGGTCTAAGTCAAAGGGCCACTTTTGCAAAACCTACGTTGATCTGCAGGCTGAACCACTACTACTTTAAAAAATTACATTCAGTTCCAGCTGGTGGCTTATATATGCTGGAATACAGGGCCACTGGTGCCAAACTGTCCTCTTTTGTGCAACACCAGAAATCCAGATCCAAGGAAAAAACTGATCCAAAGGACAAGAACAAGATGGTGCTCGACTACCACTGCTTACTGCTCTGAAAGGGATCACAATAAGAGGGCCTGGAAAGAGTGGGGAAAAATGTGGAACAAAAACTCAAAATCATAAAAAAGACTAGGCTTACTAGTCTGATGAAGAGTGAGACTATGGATCTTAGACACCCTTCAAGCTGGAAACTGAACTCAACCCCTGTGGCTCATCTTTCAGTCAAACAATAAGGTGAACAATAAATAACACCAGGGAGGTAGGCACTCCTTAGAACAATCAACCATATAAGATCAAAAGGGCAGCATTTGCCCACAGATAGAGCTAAGAAGGCAGGAAGGAATAGGAAAGAAGGATGCAGGGAAACAGTAAACACAGGGATAAAGTGGGAAGAGTGCTGTTACACTGTAGGGATTGTGAATGGCATGAAACAAAATGTGTATGAATTGTTGAATGAAAAATCAATTTGCTCTGTAACCTAAATCATACAAAAAAAAAAAAAAAAAGGATTACAAAAACAAAACCCAGAAATCCAGAATTAAGTAAGTATTATCAACTAGGTAAAAATACACCCACCCGCACATAGGTTTAATTATACTGACAGGTTGTATATGGCCCATAGATCAACAGTGTGGCTACTCCTCCAAACGGACAAAGCATTCTTCATTTAGGGTTTCTTGTCCTGCTCCCAGTATTGTGACTTTAAACAAACTGAGGGACAGGTACTGCAGGGGTGGGAAGGAGAGGGTCTGTCTGTCTCAAAGCACCACAAATGCCCATATGGAGGGCTCTTTAGCTTGGAAAAGGAGCTCTGGTCACACAGTGGGTAAGGCAATTGGCTGCTAACCAGAAGGTCAATGGTTCAAACCTGCCAGCTGCTCCACAGAAGGAAGATGAGGCAGTCTACTTCCATAAAGATTTACAGCCTTGCAAACCTTGTGGGTGCTATCAGAATCGACTTGATGGGAGTGGGGTTGGGTTAGCTTGAAAAAGCATCAGCTGTGATTAGCTAATGTGGTCTCTACTGAGCCAAGGGCCAGGAAGAAAGAAAAAAGACAGGGCAAAAGGCAGATGATCTTTGTTCTTTAAATTTTATTGGCATCACGTTCATCTCTTTACAGAAGAACTTGGCCCACACCTTAGAATGCAGACCTTTGGAAAAAGGGGGAAGTGCTCCTTTAAGCAAGTTACAATGCAGGGACAGATCCTAGGGAGGGAGCAGAACTGCCAGGGATCCATACCAAAGAAATAGGTTAATTAATGATGGGCAATATTGGAGAACTGGGTGGAAAAAAGGAGAAAAGGATTTGCTAACCTAAGGATACCACAATCTCAAAAGGAGCGCCTTCTAGAACAAAGGTAAAATCACTAGGACAGATCTGTTACAATTTTCTTTTCCCTCTCATAGTTGCTGATTTAACAGGGGACTTTTCAAGTGTGGAGAAGGGAAAATGAGAATTTTAGTATTTGAAACAGCCATTTTATCCATTGCACACACCACTGTATTATGCAAATCAACCTTGTAGAAAATTTAGACACAGAAGGGAACTAGACAGTTTTCCCCAGAGAGATGAAAAGCTTTTTGGCTCTTAAGTCTTTAATAAAAGGCGTACATAATTCTTGTGTCTACTGTACAGAATACTGCCTCTAGCTGGATTTTCAAATTCTGAGTCGCTAACTCTCTGCAATCCAGATAGGGTTCAACCCTCCGTCTTACACACCTGCATTACAGGACTTAAACACATAATCCAAGATTTTCTTACACTAATTTATACATTTTTAATTGGTTGCATATATTAACATGTACTATAAGATTCTTTTCTAAGAAGCATTACATAATAAATGGATACTGTAAAAAGATCTGATTAGTTAAAAGTAACAAGCATTAACAGATACGTACAAAACTCAGCCTAATCAGACTGGGTGTGAGCCTGTAATGAAACGTGGGCACCAGCCTTCCCAAGGTGTAGCCTTCACAAGGAGGGAGGGTGAGGTGGGGTAAAAAGATCACAAGACCATTAAAAAAATTAGGTAACTAATTAGACACAGATTTAACTGTAAACAGTTCTCTCTCTCTCTCTCTCTCTCTCTCTCTCTCCAGTGGACAAAAAAGAATAAGCTTCCAATGACTCCACGCCAGAACAACGTCTACAGCTGGCTTGTCCAGGTGCCACAGACGAGGGCTCATGGGATGGGTGGGCAGACCCCATGGAGCTGTGTCACAGGCATGGGCTTGAGTTAGTCTGCTCATGTCAGATCTGTGTGTGTGCTGTATATGAGAGTGAGTGTGTTTGGTGGGGGTTCTTTTGGCAGCTGGATATGAGAGATCAATTTATGTTTTGTTTGGAAGAGGCAAGGGGGGGCTTGTGTTTGAAGGCCTAAGTGTGTTCTTGGTTTGTGAAGGACTCTGTGCTCTACTCTCACTGCCCCTTCAGCAACTGCAGCTTTCTGCCGAGGCCTTGGCCCGGTCGTTCTTGTCCAGTTTAATGGGTTCTGGGAATTCATTGTACAGCTCCACCTCCGTTTCCTGGACAGGATAAGAGAGAAAAGTTAGTTAGTCAGGGCTTTAAGACATAGGAGAATTCCAGTTCTCAGCTCTGGCCTTTTTTTCCCAGGAGTGGTCCACTTTTGCCTGGGCAAGGAGCTGGGGTACAGAATATGACCAGATATGCTTAACTCACAAAAGAATAAGAAAGAGGAAGACAGGTTTGTGATAACTCCAGGTCAACGTGAGGAGAGAAACTGAGCCAGGGAGCACAGCAATTTTACACAGAGAAGTCAGGACAGAAGCTGACAATCTCTACTAATCTCAATCTGGGGCCTCTTGGACCATATCCAGCTCACAAAAGCTATCTGTATGGTTCATACAGTTGCCAATACTTAAATGTAAATCAGATTTTACCATGGTCTGGATTTGTGGTTTCTCTTAAAGATCTAGCAACCTTTAGTTAGCACTGCCGTAAGAAAACAGTGGGGTGGACCTGACAGCTAGCTGCTCTTTCAGCTGCAGAAGTTCCCCATTTTCCACTCATTTTCCTGGACTTATGATTTACTTGCCTTTTCTTCCAAAGGTTTAGGAGAATTGTGTCACTCAAATGCTGTTATGTGCATGCCATGTGGATGGAATTTCTCATCCACCACTTGGGGTGCGAAGTCAGAATAGACAGTCATTTTGGGGAGAATTGTGCTGAATTAGGAATCCCTGGGTGGTACAAATGATTAAGCACTCGGCTACGATCACGAAACTGTTCTAGGCTTTGGAGATAAGGTAGGAAATGTTTTTATTCATTAGAAAAGTTCTCTAGGCAAATTCATTCTGCTCACAAAAGCTATAAAAGTATAAAACCCCTAGGAATCTATTTTTCAAAAAAAAAAAAAACTTTATTAAGATATAATTCACATATCATAAAGTATACAATTCAATTACTTTCAGGATATTTACAAAGTTGGGCAACCATCACCAACCACTTTTTTTCACTCAAAAAAGAAACACCGAACCCTTCAGTAGTTACTCCCTACCTCCTCTTCATGCAGCCCTTGACAATCACTAATCTACTAATCTCTATGGACTTGTACATTCTGAATTTTTTATGTAAGGTGGGCCTTTTTATGACTAGCTGACTAGCTTCTTTCACTCAACAATGTCCATCGATGGCTGTAGCACATACTGAGACTTGAAAACTCCTTAGAAGTGAGGATGGTGAGACACTATCTCATGTATTCTGGACATGTTATTAGGCGGGACTAGTGCCTGAAGAACATCATGCTTGGTAAAGCAGGGTGTCAACAAAAAGGAAGAAGGTCCTCAAAGAGATGGACTGACACAGTAGCTGCAACAATGGGCTCAAACCCAGCAATGAGGATGGTGCAGCACTGGGCAGTGTTTCAGTCTTTGTACACAGGGTCAGTATGCATTGCAACAGACTTGATGGCACTGAACAATAACAACATAGTAACTGTTACAGATTGAAGTGTGTCCTCCAAAAATGTGTTGTAATTTCTAACCCTTGTACTTGTGGAAAGGAGCCCTGGTACAGTGGTGAAGTACTCGGCTGCTAACTGAAAGGCTAGTGGGTCAAACCCACCAGCTGTTCTGTGACAGAAAGATGTGGCAGTCTGCTTCCATAATGATTATGGCCTTGGAAACCTTAGAGGGCAGTTCTAGTCTGTTTTTAGGGACCCTATGAGTTGGAATCAACTCCATGGGTTTGGTTTGGTATACTTGTGGATATAATCTCATTTGGGAATAGAAAAAAATCAAACCAAACTCATTGCCATCAGTTGATTCTGACTCTTAAGTGACCCCCATTGGGTTTCTGAGGTTATAAATCTTTATGGAAGTAGATGCCCCATCTGCCTTCACCAGAGAGGCTAGTAGGTTTGAACTGCTGACCTTCTGGTTAGCAGTCACGTGCTTTATCCACTAAGCTACCAGAGCTCCTTCATTTGGGAATGTTGTTGTTATGTGCCATCGAGTGGGATCCACTCATAGCGACCCCTCCTTGGGTTTCCGAGGCAGTATCACTACGGAAGTAGATTGCCCCATCTTCCTTCCGAGGAGTTACTGGTGGATTTGAACCGCCAGCCCTCTGATTAGCAGTCCAGTGCCTTAGGCATTACGCTATCAGAGCTCCCTCATTTAGGAATAGGAGTTCTTTATTATGTTAAGGAACTCATATCCATGTAGGGTATGTTTTAAGCCAATTGCTTTTGAAATATTAAAAAAAAAAAAGCATATTAGGCACAGAGAAGCAAGCAGAGATGGGACTCTCCTCTAGAGCCAACAGAGCAAAGACTTCCCCTTATAGCCAGTGCCCTGAATTCAGACTTCTAGCTTCCTCAACTAGGAAATAAATGAGAAAATGAATTTCTTTTTGTTAAAACCACCCACTTTGGTATTTCTGTTACAACAGCATTAGGTAACTCAGAAACAAGATCTCTCAGCGGAAACTCTGCTGGCATTTTGAGTGGAAAAGTTCTGTATATGTAGGGCTATCCCTGTCATTATGAACCAGGAAACATCCCTCACCCCATGCCAGGACCTTTTCCAGATCCTAAACAACCCACTCCAAATATTTTCCTGCCCACACATTCTGCTGAGTGCCACAGCCTTCAATAAACACTATTTCCTGGAGCTAGGAGAACATGTTTGGGGCAGCCCCATTTTTACTGCTTCTAGTATTCTCCTCACTCCCCCCTCATCTAACCTCTGAACATCCTCTGCTACCCCCCTCCAACTCACCTTGTATCTAACAATACCTCATCACCTGTCCGAACACACCCTTGGCTTCACAGAGCTGCTCAATCAAAACAACCCTCTGCTCTCACAAGGGGCTTACTGTCTTAGTTCTTAGTGCTGCTGTAACAGAAATACCACAAGTGGATGGCTTTAACAAACAGAAATTTATTCTCTCACAGTTTAGGATGCTGTAAGTCCAAATTCAAAATGCCAGCTCTAGGGGAAGGCTTACTTTCTGTTTGTCTCTTGGTCATAAGAGGATCCCAGCACAGGGACCCTGGCTCCTCTTTTATAGCAGTCCCCCTACTCCCTTTTATTTCCTGTAAGGTAAAAGATGTTGCAGGCCACAATCCAGGGAAGCTCCCCAGGACTGTGATGGGAATAAGGGTGTGGCATTCCACCCTTAATCCTCTTATATCAGATCGGCTTATCACATCAGATCACATCATGAGGTATCATTACATATTACATAACTGGTAAACTACTGAGACAAATTTTTGGGGGACACAATTCAATCCATGACACATACCAACAATAAGTAACTTTTTTTCTGGGAATACTTAAAAAGAAGAAAAACGCAGGAAAACTTTAAGAAATACAATACTAGAGCTTCTGGTTAACCTTTCATGCAACTGAATATGACCACTTTTGAGAGTGACATAAATCAATTTATTACATTTAATTCTGAAAACCACCCTGCAAAGCAGATGTTCCTGTTTTACAGATGAGAGGATGAAAACTCATCCTTAGAGCTAGGACTTTATTTCAAATTCATTGCCTCCTTAAATGGAAGAAACAGTCTGATTAGGGGGCATCCTAGTGGCCTGATCTCCTAACAGCATGTAAGAAAATAACATGTCCAGCCAAACATGGGTGGCCTCAGCCAGTTTTCACTGTCTGCAACTTTTAAATTTTTACAAACAAGTTGAATTTCTGAAAGCTTATGCAGAACATGTCATTACCTTCTCAAACACATTAGTTTTTCTGACTACACAGAACAGAGTCAACTAAGAAAGACGACGAATAGCAAAGAAGCTGGGCAGGGGCTGGACGGGTGGTCAGACAATCATCAGGTGGAGCCAGACAGCTTCCAGGGACCTACCTGTTTAAGTGCATTCCGTGCAATCGTCTGGAATGCCTGCTCAACGTTGATTGCTTCCTTGGCACTGGTCTCGAAGTAGGGAATATTATTTTTGCTGTAACACCAGGCCTGTGCTCGCTTTGTGGCCACCTAGAAGAGGAAGCAAGGCAGACCCATGTGTGCTCATCAGAGAAGCAGCTCATTCCTTCATAGCAAGGACCAGCATTCCCTATACTACAGACTGGCACAAGTGAGGGAGCAGACTTGGTAGGAAGACAGGTGTACCTGTGTGTGTGTGGGTGGGTGGGTGAGGGGAGTTGGGGTCAGGGAGACCTGCAGACTTGCCTAAGGCCACTTTGCTGGCTATTCCAGAAGACAGCTAGGATTCAAACCAAAGCTCATTATCTGTCTACAACCAATGGCTTCTGATCTTTAGGTATTCTTAAGAGCAGCCTGTGAGGAAAATAAGGCAGCAGAGCAGAATACAAATGAACCATCTCTCCTGGGACCTCAGAGGCCCCAGAATGGGAACCACCAGGCAGCTTGGTCTTAAGATTTGTCAGTCCCTCCCCCACTGCTGTCATCTGTGCCACACACCAAAGTGCCACAGAATTCTGTAGCCTTATGACCACCCTAGCCATTCACATCCTAATTCTTTTCCCCCACCCCAGCCCATTTTTTGTCAAGAGACAAGTCACTTATAAAGGGGAGAAAAGAGAACAATGGTCAGAAATGTATCTGGCTATAATTATGGAAGAGTCTATGTTTCCAATAGAAATATCCTTTAAAAGGCCCAAATAATCTTCTGCACATCCAGGCAGGTCCATAAGGGAGTGGACCAATCAAATCAAATCCCCACCTTTCACTTCTCTGTTCAAGTCCTTGGGGAGCTCTGGTAGTGTAGTGCCTAAGGCATTTGACTGCTAACCAGAAGGCTGGCAGTTCAAACCCACCAGCGACTCCTCGGAAGGAAGGTTGGGCAATCTACTTCTGTAGTGATACCAATTTGGAAACCCAAGGAGGGGTCACTATGAGTTGGATATGACTCAATGGCAGTGAGTTTGGTTTTTTGGTTTTGGTTCAAGTTCTTACCCCAGCTGCTCATGCTGTACTCCACTGACCCTAGCCACCACTTGCAGCTAGGCCACACCTCACAAGAATGACCTTCACAATGCCAAACAGGCAGATGCCAGGTCCAAGTCTGGGAGACCATACAACACCCTGACCTGCTGGCTATAAATTTGGGGTTTCCCATTACCCTTTTAGGATGCAAGCTTAGGAGCTTTCCCTAGGCTTTCTCATTTTTGACCTGCCCGCTCCCACTACTTTGCTGAAAGAACTCATAGAACTCACGGAAAGTGCTATACTTAATCAAAGATCTACGTAGAGCAAGGTCTGGGAGGATTACCAGCACAGAGCTTCCATGTTCCAAAGGGCACAACACTACCTTCCCCCATGCATTGATGAATCTCACCAACCTAAAAGCCCATGGAGTTTCTGTGTCCAGAGTTTTTACTGGGGGTCTCAGTGAAGACTCCAGCTTCTCTTCCCTGAGATTGACTGGTATCATGAGGTATTATGTGGTGGGTCTTTTTGGCTTGGGCACTCCAAAGTCACATCATCACCTCACCTATTAGGTGAGCGTGGTCTGGAGTCCTTATCCAAGGTACTCCCAAGGTTTTATTTTGAAGAATGATTTCTCAGCAAGTCAGGATACAGACCAAATTCTTTGGGTAATGCTAATGTAAACTCCACAACGAGTCATGAAACATCTGGAGCTAGAAGGGCACTTGAAAACTAGAAAAAATTCCTCCTTTAAAGTGCAGAAAGGGGAATGAGACTTAAGAGAGTAAGGTAATAGCTCAAAGTCATAACCAGCTGGGGGCAGCATGGTGATTTAAACCAGGTCTCACGGGCCTGTGACCTCAAAGGCAGCTAACCTAAAGTTAAGTCCAACATAACTAATGGCACTTTCCAGAGTCATTGTGGCCTCAGCAAATTCATGGGAGCACTTTAGAAGCTAGTCTTCTCTCTGGTAAGAGAGTAAAATAATGATGGGTCAACTAGAAAGACAGCATTTCCCACCCTCCAACTGTATACTGGGGCTTCAGGGTACATGCCATCTGATCCAAGCATGTCTGTACTATACAAGTGAATGCTCAGACTCCAAGAAGTTTTCATAGTGCATGAGGCAGACTTCAAATTCAAGCTTGCCTTCTAAATCCATAAGGCCAACTGCAGAATACCACACTGTCTTAAGTCAAATGACCACACCTGAACAGAGAGGGACAGTGAGTGCAAGCAACTCCACAGAATGGATTTGGTACTTCATTAGCACAATTTCAAAGGGACTTCCACTTTTGTCTGTATTGTACAGGGGAAGCCAAGATGCCTATACTAGGTCAGAGAGCAAAGACCTATTCCAAGGGCTGTGCAAGTAACTAGTTAGTTGTCCTTTCTAATCTAACTCTTGGTAGTTCATGGACTACTCTCTCTTCCAACCACTACCATGGAGGCACAAACATATAAACATATAGCCTCTTGGGGACAGGACCTTGAAGCAGGTGGCATTTTACCAATCAAATCTATAAACAGCATCTGTCACCCCAACTTAGCTGTTTCTAAAAGAAGGTCCTTTCTATGAGTTAGTAGCCATGGCCTTCACAAGGGTAAGTTCTTTTTTTTTAAATTTTTATTGTGATTTGGGTGAAAGCTTACAGAGCAAATTCTCTTTCCACACAGCAGCTCACATATACTGTTCATGACATTGACTGCAATTTCCCACAACGCAACACCCACTTCCTCCCCACAGTTACCTCTTCCCTGTGTCCTTCCTTTCAATGCACTCCTGCCCCTCGAGCTGTCTCCCTGTGCATACAAAGCCTTTCTATTCTCATAAGGGTAAGTTCCAAAGCCTTCATATTGTTTATGATTTTCATGATCTTTAGCACTTACTTGTCTGTTTTCGAGGTCAATCTTGTTTCCCAACACAACAAAGGGAAAGTTTTCAGGATCTCGGGGGCTGGCTTGGATGAGAAACTCGTCTCTCCAGCTATCAAGGGTTTTGAATGTGTTGGGAGCTGTCACATCAAATACCAGAACGCAGCAGTCTGCGCCTCTGTAGAAGGCCACACCAAGAGACTGGAACCGTTCCTGTCCTGCTGTGTCCCAGATCTGTGAGAGACAAAACATTTATTCCTGGGAGGGTGTGGGTAGGGTACCAGGAGGAAAGAGGGATGCTGGAGGTGGGAGGAAGGTGAGATCGAAAGAAAGGGACTGGACATGGGGTCCCAAAAGAGACAGGGGTTCAGAATTCAGGAAGCAGCCCTGACAAACTGTGTGCATATGGGTGTTTGTAAAAGAAAGAGACAATCAGTGGGAAAAGATACACAAGAACCCTCTGGGGTGCTGGAAACGTTGATCCAGGCAGTGACCACATGAGTATGTATAGTGTGTATGTATATATATAAAATATGAGCTGTAAATCTAAGATCTGTGTACTTTTTCTGGGGCTGATAGAAGCAATTATTCACTTAATTATACACTGAAATCTCTCCATTTTACTATTATGTAAACTTTACCTCAAAAAGAGATCAGTATATTTATATTACACCTAACTTAAACAGAAACAATCTTGACAGAGAGATCTAGAGAAAGACAATGAGAGCACACATAGCAAAAGTCAAGTTTTTAATCAAAATATCACTAGGCAAGGTTGGATTTCTCACTGTACTAGGTCCCTAACAAGGTACCACCCTTGTCAGCCTGGAAAAGTGACTAGTTTTCCGAGAAATGGTCACATACACTAGGTGAGCCACTGGTTTGAGAGACTGACCAGGTCAGACACGCACATGTGGTTCTAGAGGAGAAAGCTTTCTAATTGACACCAGTCTTCAACTCTTGGATCCACTGTCTGTTTGCAGGGAAACCATTTTGTTTATGAAATGAGATCATTCTCATAACCCCAATAAATTTCTCCTTTATGCCCAAATTGCCAACTAATGTCCTAAAAGCCAGGGGTTTAGACCAAACAGAATAAGGATTGGGTCACTATAGTTACATCTTTAGGATAAAATTTTGAAGAAGAGGAATTGAGATCTTCTGTGAAGCCCTTCTAAGGCAGTCAATCTTGCCTCCCTGTAACCCTAGAGCTCTTGGAGAACACAACTACACCCAGGACATACACAGAGTGAACATCAACAACGGAAGCCAAGCGTACACACACAGTTCAGGTAGTAAAGCCTTGTTATACAAAGAGGGGATGGATGCATCACTGGAATATGCACAAGGGCAACAAACAGAACAAGGCAATATTATATAATACTACCAAGGTAAACAAAGATCCTGGCATTCATATCCCACAACACCTCCCAAAAAGTTCTCCAACAGGAACCCTAAAACATCCTGTACAAATGCAAATACCTGAGGATTTAACCTTCCCTCCCATACTGCTACCTTTAATTCAGAGTCAATGTCACAGGCTTCTTCCTTTTCTCCCTTCATTCTTTTTTGTTTATTTACTCTTGGGGCCTGTTTCAAATGACACAGTGGTAAGCAGGAGCAGAGGAGGAATTTTAATAGTGGCTAGAAGACTGGAATTGGTAGCATTAAAACCTTTTAAAAAAACAAACAAAAAAACCTTTTTAAAAGCGCCAACACAGCAGGACCTGCTGGCTTGGGACCATGTTGCAGTAGGCATCAAGCTCAGCTGGGATAACATACTAAACAAAAATGTTGTTCTACATCCTACTTTGGTTAGTAGCAACTGGGGCCTTAAAAGCTTGCAAGCAGCCATCTAGATGCAACAATTGGTCTCTCCATGTTCAGAGCAAAGAATAATGACGAAAACGAAAGATGCATGGAAACTCATCCAAGGGACTAGTCGGTCATGCAATCCTCAGCCTATACAACCATGAGATCAGAAGAACTAGATGGTATCCCATTACCACTGTCAACCACTTGGAGGGGGACTGGTACAGGGGATCCCAGATAGAGTGGGAGAATAATGTGGAAGAAAAGACAAAATCATAAAACAAACAAACAAAAAACCAAAAACCAGGTCTGCTGGTCTAATAGAGCCTAGGTGAGACCCCTAAGACTATGGCCCCTAGTTACCCTTCAAGTCTGGGACTGAACTCACTCCCTTGGATTCCAGCCAAACAACAGACAGGTATATAGGGTGACTCCTTGGAGTGATCCATCAATCGTGGGGAAACAGAAGGGCAGTGTTTGCACAGTGAGACAGTTGGGGGGTGGGGGTGGGGGGTGCAAGGGAGGGAAGGACACAGGGAAGAGGTAATTAGGGGGAGGAAGTGGGGAGACAGCTGTTCCATTGTGGGGAATTGCAGTAAATGTCATGAAACAAAATGTGTATGAACTGCTGTATGGAAAATGAATTTGCTCTGTAAACTTTCACCCAAATCACAATTCAAAAAAAGTGCTAACAGAACAACATGTGTACATGGGCTGAACTCTAGCTCACAGATCAGCCAAGAATAGCCCAAGCCAAAGGCATGACAGAAAGGGGCTGTGTTACGAAGGGCAATGCCAGGCAGAGTACATGTTTCAGCTTTCTGTTGGTAACAATTCATATTCCTAAGAAAGCAGCTCTAAGAAGCCTATTTCAGCTGTTTCCTCTGAGAGACATGGCCAATCAGACTCTTGTTTATACCCTTGGTAACAGGGAACCCTACTCCATTCACAGGCAGCTTTAATCAATCAATCAATTAATATAAGCACTAATCTCTTTAGGAAGAAGGAGCTCTGGTGTCGCACTGCCTAAGGTTAGCAGTTTAAACCTACCAGCCAGGGCAATCTACTTCCATAAAGATGTACCACCTCAGAAACCCAATGGGGTTGCTATGAGTTGGAAGTGACTTGATGGCAGTAGATTTGGTTTTGGTTCTCTAAGAAGAACTTTTTTAAAACAAGACCTGTCTTAGCAGCAGTGTAGTGAAGTCACGAATGTCTGGGTGAAGCACTGGTAAGTGTTCAGATCACTGGTAAGGTAAAAACTAGAAGGACATAGTGATGGGTTAAATATAAGAACAAATGGAAAAAAAAAATTTTAAGTCCAATTATTCTACCTTGTGTCTCTGAAGGGTTGGGAATGAAATGTCCACCAAAACAATAAGCAAAGTACATATTTCTATAGAAAAAATGGGACTTATAGTCACAGTGGAGAGCCAGTAGAGACTGCTGGTGATGGTGGCCTTTGTGCTTTACTGGTTTCCTAATGTTCTATATTGCATACATAATGCCTTTTCTCATAAAAGGCGATCAAAGTGGAGGGGGAATCACAAAGAACTTGGTTACATAATAAGGAAAGTAGAAGTCAACAACTACATCTACACAAAGAAAGTAGAAAAAAAGTTTTAAAAAACAGAACTCAAACCAAAGAGAGTTTCCATTAGAAAAGTAACACTGTTATTGTTATTATTGTCATTAGATAATCATTTGGGAAATAAATAAGGCAAAAGAGAAAAAAGAAAATCTGGCACCCTGCCACATTTTAGGGTTCGATGTAGCTGAACTCTTACACCACACACACTCTACACCCTCTCCCCACATCACTCCTCTCTTCCCCTCAAATTCAGACTACAGCAGCACCAACTCCTGCACAGCTCACAGCTTTACTACTGCCCAATAAACTCAGACAACAAAATAAACAAACTAACCCTAATTCCTGTTTATTTTATGATATTGCTTACAATTTTCTACAATTACAAACTCAGCAATGAATATTAATATATATAGATATTTCTGTATTTCAGATTCCTTCTTCAAGACAGAATCCTAAAGAGTGGAATCACTACATGAGAACTCTATTAATCTTATATGGAACCAAACAGATAATTGGAATTCAGTCATACAGAAGGCAAAATAATTAAAAAGTTGAAAAATTATTCTTAGCAAGTTTCCAAATAACCTCAAACTTAGGCTGACTGACCCTTTAAATTTTTAATATTTAATTGAAATATTTTATTTTCTACATTCAAACCTCATCCTTAGATCTATCTACCCGTTATTCTAATGTTATAAATATTAATGCTGTCATTTTTCTGTTTATTTTTAAGAAAATAGCAAACCTTCCTCCATAGTGTTTTCTTTCCTTCCTCCCCAGAAGTAAATGGCCCCTGAAGACATTCTAGTCATCTTTTTGCAACCTGCTTTTTTTTTCATTTCCAAAAGGTAAAAGCTATATAGTATTCCACTGCCTTAATATACCATGTTATCTGACTGGTCATTTGACTTACTTGTGTTTTTCACTATTACACACAAGGCTGCAATGAACATTTTTTTCACACCTCTCTCTTCATATTTAAGAAGTAAGTTTCTCTAGGCTGTATACCTAGACATAAAGTTGCTAAACTGCTGGGTATGTGCATGTTCAACACTGAAGAGGAAAATGGCAGTCTCCACTGGAAAGGCTGTACTAATACACTTCCATCAAGTTTGGCAATGTTCTACCTTTAGATTCTAGAGACTTGTCAGCCTTCTATAATTTTACAATTCTCTGAACTCAAGCCATTGGCTGTTAAAGTTTCTTTTGTAATTATCATTAGGCTGTCATCTATATACTAAGGGTTTTGTCAGTTAAGCATTGTTATAGATTGAACTGTATCCCCAAAAATACATGTCAACTTGGTTGGGCCATGACTTGTGATCTATATGTAATTATCCTATGTGTTATAAATCCCCACCTCTATGATGTTAATGAGGCAAGATTAAAGGCAGTTATGTGAAAAAGGCAGGATGCAACCTCTAGGATTAGGTCTTATCTTGAGTCAACCTCTTTTGAGATATGAAAGGAGAGAGCAGCTTACAGAGAGAGATGGACCTACCACTACCAACAAAGAAGAGCCAGTAGCAGAGTGTGTTGTGTCCTTTGGACCTGGGGTTCCTGGTACAGAGAAACCTCTAGACCTAGGGGAAGATTGATGACAAAGATCTTCCCCCGGAGCTGACAGAAAGAAAAAGCCTGGCACCCTGAATTCAGACTTCTAGCATCTTAAACTGTGAAGAGACCAAATTCCTATTTGCTAAAACTATCTACTTATAATATTTGTTATAACAGCACTAAATAACTAAGATAAATACAATCAGTATTTTCTCCTGATCTGTGATTTGACTTTGTTATTGGGAATCTTGTTATTCAAAAATATTTAATTTAA